TCCTTACCGGGCGGCGGCACCGTGCAGGCCCCGCAGTACTGCCCTGCCGTTACCGCCGATCTGAGGCCGGGTGGCACCCCACTGCTTGTGCGCTCGTGGAAGCCCACAGAAAATCACACCAAACCGGGGACAAAGCCCACGCCTCGTGCCGCGCCGCGGGGACAGCAAGGCCCGCGGCTGCCCTGGAGCGATGCGGCCGCCAGAACTACAGCTCCCGGCACGGCCCGGGGCACAAGATGGCGGGCCAGAGGTGGGGCCGGGCAGTGCGAGAGAACAGGGGGAAGCGGGTGGGCAGCGGAAAGCATGAGGAAAAGATGGGACAGGGAGCCTGACAGAGATGGAGAAAGAAGCAGGAGGGAGAGGGAGCAGAACAGAGACTGAGAGCAGGATGGAGATGCAGAAAAAACCTGGGATGGGCAGCACTACCGGGAGGGAGGAGAAAACCAGGCAGGGAGCTTGATCTGGAGAGAAAAAAAAAAAAAATATCAGCAGGCTACAGGATAGAGAAGGGTTTAAAAATGGAGACAGTGAGATGACAGAGAGGGAGGGCAAAAGGAAAGAAGTGAGGCAATGCAGCAGAAGGAGGAATAGGAATGAAGAAAGATGGACAGGGAACCAAATGAACTAAGGGAAAGAAAAACCAGCCATAGGGCAGAGAGGGGACCTAAAAAACAGGGACAAGGAGCAAGACTGAGACGGAGAGAGGAAAAAATAGCAACAGGTTACAGGACAGAGAGGGAGGAGTTTGAAATGAGGAGCAGGGAACAGAAGCGCAAGAAATAGACTCATAATGTGCTACTGGGACACAGCCCAGCCGCTCTCATGTCTCTGCACTGTTCTGCAGAGAGGTTCTCTGCAGCCACCACCAGCTATGTTGAGGGACCAGGAGCTGCCAAAGCCAAAGGAGCTTACAAGGGTATGGCATGGGAGGCTCAGTGCCCAAGGAGGGGTGCTGAAGTGGGAAAGGGAAAATGAAACACTGTTTCCTTTGCATCACGTCCAACACAGCCAAGGGCCAGACCCTGCTGCTCCACCATGCCCTGGTCCCCCCCCTGCGCAGCACCCTGGGTGTACGCTCCCAGAGCCCCGGGGCTGAGCTCCCTCAGCTCCAGCACTGGGTCCAGAGCCACCAGGAATCCCCATCCTTCAGCCACAGCCATTATTGCAGCTCCCACCCCAGGCGGCCCCACCACTCCTGCCTGGCCTTCTAGAAGATGGCTCTGGCAGTTGCTCAGGTTGCCAGGAGTCTCCTCAGATCAGCAGGCCCTTTCAGAGGGCAGAGTGTGGCCTTGCACTGGTACAGCAGAGCACCTACCCCCCAGCCCTGGGATGCTCCCCCCAGCCAGTAACACAACCATTTGGTAAACGGTTTAATTAATATACCGAGAGGAGCACTGCCAGCCTGAGCTGGAGTTCACCCGCTGCTCTGCTTGGCTGCCAGTCTCTTGTCTCTCTCTTCAGCAATGGTGAGGCGGATGCCCTTCCCACGGGGCAGGGAGATCCACGGCTTGTTGCCCTGCAGCAAGGGAGAAGCAGCCACCTTAAATCAAGAAACCCAGACAGGGGCAGAGCTCTCCCCCTCAGGGGGGAAAAGCAGCAGAAGCCAACCCCTGCCCACACTGGGCCATGTAAACACAGACGTGGCATTGGAGCAGAAGCCCTTTAGGAAGGTGCCAAAGGTGTACAGGCCTTCATCTGACTCTTTTGGGCACAGCCATCAAGGATGAACTTCAGCCAAAAGCGAAGCACCACCCCTTTCCAACCTGGACAAAAGAGGCGGTTGGGGATGGCGAGACAGCAGAGGCGTTGCAGCAGGAGTGCACTCTCAGTCAGAGCAGCTGCCCAGGGGTTACACAAGAGCTGCACACCGAGCACTGCTCAGCTCCCAACTCCCAGGTGGTTTAAAAAACCCACAGAACTGCTTCTTGAAAATGTCCCCATTCTTAAATTTACGGGTGCTTCCCCTTCCCAGAGTGGTCAGCCCAGAGCAGTCAGAACCCCAGGGAGCAGAGACAGAACTGGTGCCAGCGCTGGCGCTTCACTGTGTGTGAAAGCAGCTGCCTGCAGAAGACACCAGCACCTCTTGGCTTCACCCAACAGCCCCCACCAAAAGGAGAGAACCCGCCCGCCTTGTGCCCACACAGGCTTACTTTGCCAATAACGAAGATGTTGGAGAGCCTGGTGGCAAAGCTATTGCCGTTGGCATCCTTCACATGAACAACATCAAATGACCCAGGGTGTCTCTCCCGGTTGGTGATCACCCCAATACGGCCCAAGTTGGCACCACCGGTCACCATGCACAGGTTACCTGTGAAGGAAGGTGAAGGAAGAGGGGTATGACAAGAGCTGGCACCAGGTGCTGTGCTGAGGCCCTTGTGCTGGGGCTCTTCGAGGAGCACCACTGGAGAAGGGCCGGGACAGATCCGCACTGGCCCTGAGTGGCCACTGGAGCACCTGGTGACAATTACATCCCACAGAACCCTGGCACACCTCAAGGAGCCAACAGCTCTCTGGACCAAAGGCCCGTAACAAACATTCCCCAGCACCCGAGGCATTCCCGTACCACTTGTCCTGGCACTGCAACTGAAACCTCCCACAGAAAAGAACCAGGAATCTCTACTCATGGCCCCACAAGAGCCGGGCTCAAGCAACCTCTCCACCAGCTTGCTGCTTCTACTCACTGCCTGCTTGCTCTTGGAATCACTCCTAGTCCCCATGCCAAACGCATCCCACTGCCAGCACGTGGGAGAAACCCCTGCTCCAGCTCCAGGTAAACAACCCCTTTCCCAAGGCTGCCATCACTGCCCCTCTAGAGCAAAGATATCTGGCATTTGTATTCAACCTCCCCACTGTGGAGAAGATGCAAGACCTACCTGTGTCAAACTTGATGAAGTCTGTGATCTTGCCTGTCTCCAGGTCAATCTGGACTGTATCATTCACCTTGATGAGGGGGTCCGGATAGCGGATGGTGCGGGCATCATGGGTGACCAGATGAGGGATTCCTTTGGTGCCCACAAAGATCTTCCTCACCTTGCACAGCTTGTACTGCAAACAAAACCAAACACTGCTCAGGTTGAGGCAGTGAGTGGCACCACAGGCCAGGGGGCTCTTGACCCCCCAAGAGGTGCTGGCCACAGCAGGCCTCAGACCCCAAGCCAAATATCCAGACACTCCAGGGCTTGCCACAGGAGCCCAGGCAGTGACTTGCCCAGCTCACTGCCCAGCGGTGCCTCTCGCAGGGCTGCCACAGGGCCACACTACAGCCCCATCGGAAAACACGCCCTGCTTTGGGAACACCTGCCCACCCTGGGCTTCAGCCTCCTCACAAACACTGGCTTCATTTTCCCAGGAAAGCTATGCTAGGGCAGTCTCCTCGCTTTGCCATGAACCTGTGGTCACACAGCGGAAGCTGAGGATGCCTTCAGGATCCAGGAAATATCTGTATCCCTCCTCCAGAGCACCCTGGTTTCCCTCCTACCTTTCACCCCCCTACCCCTGACTCCTTCAGAGCCACATTGGGACTCACTGGTTAACACAGAGGGGTAGCCAGAGGCAGAAGCATGTCATGGGGGGCCAGAGAAGCCCCAAATACACATGGCTTGCTACAGCACAGACAGCTCTCCCCCTCAGCATCACAGCATGCCTGCCCAGCCTGCCCTTGGGAAGGACAGGCGAAGGAGAGTGCAGACTTGCAGCTCAGGCACGCCAGCATGCTTTGGTTAAGGAAACATGGGTGGGAGTTGCTCCAGGACACCCAGGGCCAGTTTTATAAACACTTCCCTAACAAACTCGGGAAGGAGTTCAAGGCACCACAGCACAGGCAGTGCCATGTTTCTGATCACCATTAGCTTGTGCTGAGGCTCACCACAGCACAGCAGAGGCAGCCCCCAGCTCCCCATGAAGGTAACGCAGTCCATGCCAACGGCAGTCACTTCAAGCACCAGACAGTGCACCTGCAGTCATCCGGGAGTTGCTCTCATGTCACCAAGAGATTTCCTCCTGCCAAAGGCCTTGTATCCCAACCCTTCAATCCCTGATCTTCTTTCTCAAGAGTGGCACAGACTCAGCTCACAGGGAGGAGAGCCATCAGCTCCCGTTCATGAGATACCAAAGAGGAAACACCACCCCAACCAAAGCCAAGCGGGCTCACACTTACGCCAAGCTGATGCCCCTCACCTTGGCCTCTTCAGGTGTGATGCGGTGAACAGCAAACCGGCCCTTGGTATCATACACCAAGCGGAAATGCTCGCCTGTCTTCTCGATGCTGATGACATCTGATTTCAGAGAGGGAAATAAAACAGCAGCTGTTATCAATCAGCTATGTTACTCAACACGAAGCTCAAATTTGAAAAGAACTAGGGACTGCTGACAACACTTCAGGCATGAACGAGGAGGTTGTTATCTCCTCTTCTCCTCTTGACACAGACTCACATCTTTTACCACGATATGGCGCAAATTAGCAAAAACTGCCAAAGGCTGAAATCTGAACAGCAATTTAGGCATATGCAATCAGGTAGTTATAGGCTACAGATACCAGGCTTTGGTGTTCATCGCACTGCATAACTCCAAACTAATTAACATCTGCTTATATTTCTCTTTTCTTCATCAGCTCCACCAGAAAAGCATCTTTCCCACCAAATTGTGCCAACCTCACAAAACATCAGTCACAGAACACCTGCCAGTGTAGCAGCTGCCCACCCCACTCACCCATGAAGCCTGCAGGGTAGGTGATGTCTGTGCGGACTTTGCCATCTATCTTTATGAACCGCTGCATGCAGATCTTCTTGACCTCGTCTCCTGTCAGGGCATACTTCAGCCTGTTCCGCAGGAAGATGATGAGCGGAAGGCACTCCCTCAGCTTGTGAGGGCCTGTCGATGGACGGGGTGCCTACAAACAGAAGCTTTCTGCTGGGTCCTCAAGCACAACAGCAGCATCGACCGTTCTCAGGGGAAGAACGTGACCGCCCCAACAGCTCTCGCAACGGCACCGAGGCCAGCTGTGTGCAGCCGAAGTGCCAAGCAGGCAGAGACAGGCTGCCCGTGACTATTCTCGGTATTCACAGCACCTTGCGCCCAGATCTCGCCAGCCTCACAAAACACCGCCCCAACGCAGTACAGCCCCCTACAGCCCCAACGCAGCGAAGGACAACCACAGCGACAGGTTAGAGAGCAGCCAACCACCCACCCCACCGCCCCATCCCCTGCAAACTTGGGGGG